CATCTTGCTAACAACGAACATTTTTGTGATAAAAATTGAGTTGGTTGCCCATGTTTTATACCCCTAGGCCCTAATCCTGTAATTACGTTTACTTTTATTAGTTTTAGTTCAATTTAAGTTTAGTTTATTAGCTTAATTTTAGCTTCAATTTAGTTTTTAGTTTTGTTAGATATCACCAACCTTAGACAAATAACTTAAATTACTACTCTTTCTAAACTAAACTAAATAAACAGAGTTAAACTAAACTAAACAAAACGAACGAACTGAAACTAAAGTTAAACAAATAAACTAAAACTTAAACTAATACAATCGGCCAGTAAGAGAGAATTCCGGGGCTAGAGGTATCTACTGTGGATGACAAACATAACTCTTATCGTTTTTTAAGATCAAAATTATAATTGAAACTGGCAGAGATGCTAAGTGTTTCAAAGAACTTGCTCTTGTTGCAACTCTGGTGGTATTTTCAGCATACAATTAACATGTTTATCTGGAGTATGAGGTCGAAAATGACACTAGCGGAATTGATGTCCCCACATAAATTTAGCGAACTCTGCTTTCAGGCCATTTGACTTTTTTTACATATTTATAACTAATCCTCTTATTGCTGATTGATCCTGAGCTCTTAGTGATACCACGTTGCGACCAAGTTACCAAGTCTCTACCGTAAAATTAAGTAAAAAGCTGCATTCGGTAGCATTTCCGTTTTCTGGTGCTGTCTTTGCATCCTCTTGGTTTTGTGCAATATGGTTGGGCCGGATTTCTGGCGGGAGGCGCAGGATAACGTTTGGTGACATTCAGTCAATATCGTTTCGGTTTCGTCTGTTTTTTTTACCAAAGATCTTGGCCAGTTTTGAAAGACTATGTGGATCTAGCGGCTATTTTGGGCGGTAGGTAGGCGTTTTAATATCTGGTCAGGGTGAATTACCCTTACTTCTGTCTATTTGATGCAAAGCTCACTTTAAGCAAAAAAAAGACGGTAAACGTTAAATTTCACTTTAGGTGACCCTAGCCGCAGAATTCTATCTAAGGGGACCAGTGGTATCAGTTTAGTTTAGTTTTTGGTTTATTATATAGATTGTCATTTTTATTTTAATTTAGCTCGTTTAGTATATAGCAGTTATTTAAGTATATTTACCTAACTTTTGTGGTACCTAAGTAAACCAAACAAAAATAAACTGATAAACAATATTATAAACTAAAAACTAAACTAAAATTGAACTAAGAATAATAAATCTAAAAGTAACCACAGGATTAGGGGTATGTAAGGTGGGCGACCAAGTTAACTTTTACTAACAAATACAAGTCTAATTAAACTCCAGCGCATTTTAAAAATAGACCTACAAGATGGATGTGTTTAAGAAT